TTTTGTCTAGTGTGGCTATGTTGGTGTTTGCTTCAGCTTTCCTTGAGAAGTCTTTGACGTTATTTTTGGTTTGTAGCCTGAAGTGAAAAAAATTCACGTTACTGTTCTGAAAAACAGATAAAACCCTGTTCCAATGTGGCTTTTTTATGGAACTCAATTGCTTTCCAAGAGACTCTTAATATAAAGGAAGTAAGAGTTCAGGAACCATATGGTCACCTGATTCGGGTTTTTTTGGGGGAGGTACTTTTACTCATTAGCTGTTTTACTCTGATTCTGGTACCTATGACCTAGAATATAGTATGTTAGATTTCTTCTATGCTAATAAATTCTTCATTAAAAAACCTAAAAGTCTCCCAACTCTTTCATTCTGTTCCTCATAGTTTAAACCCTCCTTAATTAACCTTTTGTCTTCCCACTTTATGCCAGATTATCTTTTTAATTTTCACATACGTATGTGGAAGGTATGGGGGAGAAGAAAGAAAATTGCAGTAGTTTAGGACTTTGGGTAATTAGATCTTTGTGATAACCAGTCTGCTTTAATTGCTGAAAATTGACCAGTTTTGATGGAACTTCTTCCATACTCTAAAACAGAACTGTGGTAGAGTGGCAAGTATGTGCCCGATGGTTAGAAATAGAATGGTGCACGCATGTTGGTAGGGGGGAAAAGGTGCAGATCACTATTTTGTATACTCACTTTACCTGTTTTAATTTGTGGTATATAAATTTGAACAATATAACAAATATATTGTGTTTTTTTGTTTGTTTTGAATGTACTAAATAAATTAGAAAAGATTCTCATTAAACTATTCATGGAAACTTAAAATTATATGAGGTGTCTGTATTGATGGATACCATTTTTAAAAAGAATCCTTTTAAATAGAGAAATGAAAATGTTCTTGATTTCCCTCAATTTAAGGTAGTAGATATCAGTTTTATTCATGTATTCAGAGTTACTACGGCTGTGGGCTAATTCAGACTGTACCCTTCAATTTGTAATATGACTGAATAGTATGATTTGGTTAAAAGTAAAAAGAAAATTTAAAGGCAATTATATATATTCAGTGTTTTGTATTATACATGCATGCATATATATGTATACATATGTATGTATGTAAAGTAGCTATTTTGACAGAGAAAACAAGTTTCTTGAATTCAATTAAGTGGCAGCTTTAGTTTCCGTAATATATTTTCCTAATTTTCTTCTAAAAGCTTTGATATTTTTCTGATCTAGATAGATCTGCATTCCATCTGGAATTTTTTCTATATAGTGTGAGGTAGTGGTCAAGATTGTTTTTACATATAGATACTCATTTGATCCTGTACCATTCATTGAAAAGACCATTAATTATGATATTTGCTCTAGATTTTTCATAGAGAAGTGTGGTAAGATTAAGGAATAATGTTATTTTTATTCCTAATTTGCTAAATGTTTTTGTTATTAGTAGGTATTGAATTTTATCAAATGTTTTTTCTGTCTTCTGTGAAGACAGTAGAATTTTTCTCCTTTTTTCTGTTAATGAAGTGAATTCTGTTGATTGATAATTTCAATAATATATTACAGTAAAATTGGAAATTAATTACAATTAACCAAAGAGGAGAAAAGAAAAATGTTAATATTGGTCAACTATAGGAATTTTTTCAAAATTCCTAAGCTTTTAAAAAAATTGTGTAGAAAATTAATCCATTTGTAGGTAGATCTTTTCTAATAATGCATATTGAATCTTTTCTAATAGATGTTAATGAGAATGAAGATGCAACATTAAAAAGAAGTGCAAGATTTAACACAAATAAATAATGGTTCTGTAACTGAATTAGTTACATTAGGCATGTCATAGAAAACAGTACATGTAAAAATAATGTGAAAGAGTCAAAGTGCCAAAATCTGTAAGAAATGAATTTTAAATTTTTTTGAAGTTTATTTTCATGTTTATAAATGCGAGGAAACCATGGTACAGATTTACACAGACAGGTCAAGTATTTTTAGCTTAAATTTTTCCTTTATGCCATTATTAATATTAAATGCTTTTTGTGAACACACCACATAACAGCCAGAAAAAGTGTTCAAAAGCACTTGGAAGGGAGGGCAAAGTGAGCCTGGAATTTAAATAATTGGAAAGAGGATAAATTTAAAAATTGTTCCCAGTCTTATACTCATCTTTAAACATCATTTGATTCAGTTATTCTGTCTGTACTGTTAGAGAAATGGCTGGTTTTTATTTGCCAGAGTTTGCAGAAATCTTCTTTTCCTTCATTTCAGCTAATCATCAGATAATTGTGATTTCCTTTTTATTCTGCAGCATATTTTGACTACAAAGATGAGTCTGGGTTTCCAAAGCCTCCCTCTTACAATGTGGCTACCACACTGCCCAGTTATGATGAAGCCGAGAGAACCAAAACTGAAGCTACTATCCCTTTGGTTCCTGGAAGAGTAAGTCCAGCTTACCATGTTACAGGGTGCTGGTTTATGAGAATTAAGTCCTTTTCATTATCTCCTTTTTGATATATTACTTTGATAAAATTGATTAGTAAAAGTATAGCTAATTTTAAAAAGCAAGTACATTTTCTTTTGGAATAATAAACTCTTTTCCTCAAAATGATGAGGTAAAAGGTATAGATGAGCAGAAAAATCACTAGTCAAGCCAGCTTTTCTTTCCTCTACCTCTACTACCACAACTTTCTCAAGTCTTCTGGCATGGCTGAAACGTCTTGGAACAGGAGCTGATTTAGGAAATACACCAACTTCGTCTTGATTCTGCACACTTAATATTTTGGTGTAAGGTAGATAACCGCTGTGGAGTCTATGAAGAGCAAAAGTGGAACTTCATAGAATTAACTCAGAAGGGCTCTAACAATCATCTAGATGAACCCCATGCCACCAGCAGTCCAGATCATGCCATCTGTGTAGGCCAAGTGAATTCAGTGAATTCCCATCTGGTCTGATGTTGATTCATGGGAGTGGTGGTGGGGTGTGATGAAAGCCAGTGGAGAGTTTTGGACACTCTTGGTCCATGATGTCAGACCTGTAAGTGATACAGTTGTGGGTTTCATAAATACTCATCCAGGTTGAAGCTATGGAGGGAAGGACTTAGGCCAGATATTGGAATAATGGGGAGCAGGATCCAGTACCCAGGAATGTGGGGCAATCAGGGTTCCAAACTCTAGTCCAGGCAGGAAATGAGTGAAATATAATAACAAGAACAGAAGCTTAGTCTGGGCAGTGCAGTGACACAAGCCCCAGAAGTTCAGGCCTTAGGATAGTGGACTGTTTGCAGATCCCATCTACTATGAGGGGTAAAACTCCTAAACCACTACTTGGCAGAAGGAACAGTTTATAAGTCCAGTCTAGGCTGATTCTATATGGTGACATGCATTCACTTCTTGGAGGTGCTAGGGAGAAACTAAGAACCCTCATGCAGCTCATTGTCTAAAGACAAAACAGTCTTAATATAATTACCATGTATTGGAAGCAAACCACGCTTGATACTGTGCTTGGTGCTTATATGTATTGTATATATTATTTCTGTTCCTCGCAATAACCTTGCAAGGTAGAGATTATATTATCTCCATTTTACAGATACAAAAATTGGGGCCCAGAGAGATTAAGTAATTTGCCCAAAGTCATATAGCTAATAAGTAACATGGGCGAGTCAAACCCAGATATTCTAGACTCTGAATTCCTTATATATGTTCTGTAGACCTGTTGGATTATAGTAACTCTTTCATGGAAATAGACCAGATTAGCTCTAATTAATCACAGAACTCTTTAGAATACTTTTATAAGTGTACATATTTAAGAACTTCTTAAAGGCTTCTGTTATTCAGGAAACATATATCAAAAACATTTTTATATGATGTGCTATGTATTTTGCAGTGGATAGGTAGAAGACTTTGTATAAGGCAATGCTTCTGCCATACAAGAGGTTAAAGTCCAGCTGGGGAAAAGGCCGCAAGTACCCATGGTCTAAGCAGCAGCACAAGAACAGTAAGCGTTAAGAACTGTGACTTTAACCTTGTGGTCATGGGGAATTGGGCCCCCAAGTTTTGATGGCTAAGTACATTCCAGAGGAAAAAGCTCAGAAAGCAGATGGTGAATTCAGCCAGGTGCAGGGCAGGTACTGTGGATGTAGTAATTGGTTTTGCTTGATCAAGAGTTTGTGACCAAGGTGGGAGGGTATAGCTCAGTGGTAGAGCGCACGCTTGGCATGCATGAGGTCCTGGGTTCAATCCCCAGTACATTACTTAAAATAAATAAGTAAATAAACCTAATTACCTCCCTCTGCCCTGCCCCAGAAAAGAGTTTGTAACCAAAACTGTATGTAAGTTGTAGAATCTTCTGAATCTAGGCTGAGGCGTGTAGACGTACATATAGGTCATGCAGAATCCTTCACAGTTGTTAAGCAGGGGTATAATAAAACAACAAGTACGGTGTTTTTGAAACATTGACCTGGCAACAATTTGTAGGAGGAATCCCGGTAGTAGAGATACCAAGGACAGAAAGAACAGAAGGCATTTGCAGTATTACTGGACATTACTTCCATTTATTTTTGTAGTATATCTTTGAGTAGTTATGCAAAAAACAGAATCACTTTATAATTTGGCAAAGCCATTTATCCTGCTGATATGAATTCAGAACACTAGGTATTTCATATTTCCGAAAATAGAAAACAAACACATTCTTGTAAAAATTTCACACAGTAGAGGACATGTGTTCAGCTGGATGGAAGTAACACTGACACTTCACTTTCTCTAGTTCCCATTCCCCAGGGGAACCAGGTAACATCTTGTTATGGATTTCCCAGTCCCTTTTCTGTGTAGGGCAAGTTTTAGTTGTCCATAAAGTTTTGTTTTTTATTTTTCATTTGAGAAACCCTCATTGGATTGTGTACAAGTCAGCCACTTTTAAGGATAGAATCATTTATTTTTCAGTATCTCAGCACATCCTACAATTAATTGAAAAGATAAACTACATGTTGGTGTCAGTGTTGGTCAGGATCATGTTCCTTCTAGACTTGTAACACTGTGTTTTCAACTTAGGATGAAAAGGATCCTATCTGCCAATAAGATTGGAAATGAGGTTTTTCAGACCTGTCTACCGATGTAAACAGATAGTTGTGGAGTTAAGCAGTATGCACCCCTGTCAGACCCTTCATGTATGATGACGCCGCTCCTACGGCCCCCAAGTCAGTCTCAGAAAGCACTTGAGCCTGTCAGTGGTATCTCCTTAATAGGCCCTGAATTACTGGTATTCTAGAATTTAAGCCAAAGGTATAGGAACATTTTCTCCTTTTTCCTTAGATATATATAAAAAAGGAAGAGTGAACAGTTCTTTGTGAACTTTATAATTTTTGAAATGTTTTGTTAAAGAACTTGGGTTATAAAATGAAAAGTGCTTTCATGCAGAAAACTATGGGAACAGAAGATTTGTTTTTTCTCTAATTACTATCTTTTACTTATAAGACAAAACGATAACTTTAACACGTACTGAGACTTGCTTACAGTTTTGAATTGAGCCAAAGCAGTACATTTTCTCCTTGGTACTCACTTTTATCCCTTTCTCTTTTCTTGATATCTTTCTTTGCCTTGAAATAATTCGTTGTGAATTCACCTTATTTTTCTTTTCATTTAGGATGAGGATTTTGTGGGTCGGGATGATTTTGATGATCCTGACCAGATGAGGATAGGAAACGATGGGATTTTCATGTTAACTTTTTTCAGTAAGTATATACACACAGCAGAGCTGCTTCCCACAAACAGGAGCGCTTTGCATTATGGGTGAATCTGACTGAAATTAAAAGGACTAGTTGAACTAATATGTTAATACACTATATTTATTTGATGCCTTTTTCTGATCTCTGAACTGAGATGTTCAGAGCTTAGTACACTTTTATCTTAATATCCTTTTTCTTTGTCTTCTGTTTCTGTGAATATCTATGGAAAGTATAATTAAAGCAGTTATGAGGATGCTGCATTTTTCCATGAGCTAAGCTTCATCTTTTGGATCTGCAGGGCCCCTTAGCATTCCTCCTACTCGTTCCTGACCTGTAGGCTAGGAATTAAATGCCTTTGTCTGATGAATTTTGTTTTGCAAGCTGTTTTCTAACACATCAAAGTCAATCCAGTTTTTTCCCCCTTGAAGTTATTTTGCATTTATCTTTCCATATGCTGGACTTGGAAGTGAGCAACCGTTTCTTTTATTTGCTGTATAAAAAAGATAAGAAGGAAATGCAGAGCTTTTAGAGGTGACATGTTACATAAGCTGTTAAAATTCATAGAAGCAGATGGGTGAATGACCTGAATCATATTAGTTGGGGGCACTGATTTAATGTTAAATAATGTTTATTTGATGTATGGAGATGTAACATGCAGTAGAGGGCACAAGTTGTAAGCATGCAGTTTGGTGATACTAACGCATTTTTGAAAGTGACTACTAGTAGATGTAGTGGTACAACACCTGATATTCAGAGACTGTTTTTTTGTTTGCTTTTGGAGGAAAACTGAGGGTGGATGTTTTGGGGAAGTGGGATAAGGGTTGTGGAGGGTGGGCTAGGCTCTTACGTCCCTGGGAAAGCCACTGAAGCAAAAGCAAGTGCAGGGCACTCTTGCTCCTTGGGCAGCAGGACACGTCTGACATCTTTTGTTCTCTCTGCTTTTGCAGTGGCATTCCTCTTTAACTGGATTGGGTTTTTCCTGTCTTTTTGCCTGACCACTTCAGCCGCAGGAAGGTATGGGGCCATTTCGGGATTTGGTCTCTCTCTGATCAAGTGGATCCTGATTGTCAGGGTAAGTTGTACACTAGCAAAGATAGAGTCTGTAGAGAAGGAAGAAGTAGAACAATTTTTAATGTTTTATTTTTTTTCGTTTGCTTTTTGGGAATTATCTCAGCATTTAAAATGATTTTTTGGTTTGTCTTTGTTCTGGTTTCATGAAATTGAACCTAAATCAGTTGCAGTTGGTACATGCACACAAGTTTTGTAGTCATATCTAATGAATGTTGGTGGTCCGAGGGCATCTATTATGCAGGTTGTTCACCAGCTGCTTTCTCTGTTTTAAATGTTTATAATATGATAATACATGTATTCTGAAATTAGTTGTTTTTATAATAAAAGGAAGGTTATCACCTCTCTGGTAGCTCATCAAAAGCTCATGTTCTTTTTATTAATGCTACTGAAATTTTAGTCTCTCTTTTCTCCTTCCCTGTCTTCTTTTCTCCCTCCTTCCTCTCTTCCTTCCAGGACTGGTTATCAGTAGCATCACTGGTTATGCCAGAATGCTTGGAGAGCCAAAACTGTTTAACAAGCCCTACTTTGTTAGGGGCCCAGTGCTTTGCGAGTTACCAGTTAGTTAGAATCGCATGAAGTAATTTAATGTTGAAGATCTAGTCTCTTAAGGTGTCCTCTGATTTCAGTTAAGTTTACTGCTATTGTTAACTTTATAGATAAAACCAATATATTTATCATAAACTGGCATTATTAACTAATTAATGGATGTTCACTGACCACAGGAGTTTTTTTTTAAATTCTTTATTTTAAAGCAGTTGTTAACATTGTTAGGATTCCAAGTTCCTTTGAGAATCTGTTAAAAGTTATGGGCTGTTCTCCAAGACAGCTAGTGTGCACTCACCTAAAACATGGACTTCAGGTTACGAACTCAAGCCCTAAGGAGGTTCTTCATTCCTTGTTTTATTAATAAATACTGTATTTTAATGTCCAAACTGTGTTAAAGCCTCCAGTAGAAAACAAAATAAAATTAGTTACCAGTCTTTATTTTTACTAAAATTTAAAGTGAAATTTTTAGCTGAATTGAATGAATCAGCTTATATCGGTTAGGATGGCTTTGTGAGCAAACCTAGTTCAAAATGGCTTAGGAAACAATGGGGAAATGTTATTTCCAGTGAAAATACGTTCTGACCTGGAGGTTAGTTAAGTGTTTCAGTGACATCATCAGGGACAGCTCACATTTCTGCTCTGCATGTTGGTGTGGCTGTTCCTCCCTCAGAGCTAAGATGGTGATGGCAGTTGTAGGCATCACATCAGAAGCAACAGCGTTCAGCAGGAGAAGAGCTATTTCTTCTCCTCTTTTTCTTTTTAAAAGCAAGGAAGCCTTCTCAGGAACCCTCAGTTCCCATTGGCTAGAGTAACATCACGTGCTAGTCCCAGGCAAAGCAATGCAGTGATCATGATGTACCTGAGAAAGCATCCAAGGTCAGGGCGTGGCTGGAGGAGTAGGAACAAAATCAGGGTTCATTAGAAAGAAGCCAAATAATTGTTTTGAGTACTCGGTAAGCAAAATAAAAGTATCAAGACATATTTCTAGGCGAGAGAAAAACGTGGAGGAAAAAAAGATTTTGAAAAAGAAAACAAGTTTAAGTGCCTTCAAAACAAGGAGTATATAAAGCTGAAAGCTGTCGTATTTCAAGATTGCTTTTCCATGAAAGG